TCTGATAAAGTTAACAGATGTATATTAATGTTTGTCTCGGCTGGTAGTAAACCGAAACCTCACATTTATAAAATTATTTCCGTTTATCCAAAAGCGACTTCTAATAATACACATGATTTATCTGTATATTCTAACATAAAAACAAAAGATATAAATAAATAACAAAGCTTTTTTGTATCCCTTATGCCTGAATACTGTGGTTAGAAGTAAATACAGCTTTTGAAGAGAACAAATAAACCCGCAGTAGATTAAGATTCTTTCCAGCCTGAACAATGTTGCCGGGATATCATCTGACCGAAACGTTTCTGTAACGAGCGTGCAAACATGTTATATAATTTTTGCCCTCGTTTGCGTTAAGCGAGAAAAGCAATAGTTTTATTTCCATCAAAACTGATTTTTTGAAGCAAGTAATAGGCACCTTTGTGATGAGAGATTAGAGCGAATTGCCGCAAGGCTTTGCGTTTGAGGAAGGCTAAATGCTAGACAAAATGGCATTATAAATAGACCTGCAAGCAAATGAAGTACAATTGTTCACAAATTTTAGCTGATTTTGTATCACCTCAGACATAGGAACGGTTCATATGACCAATGTTTGAACGTTTAAGCCTTTTGCTTATTCTTGACAAGGGAAACTGTGAACGAGCCTAAATTTCGATATGAAGTTGTTAACCTGTTCACTCCCTCTGGACAAACTCGGAAGCTCTCCATCTTAGCTTGTTTTAAAACACGCCTTAAGCAAAGAAATACGTCCGAATACATTGCGCTTACAGAATGAATGTTAGATTCTGTTAAGTATATATCTGTACTGAAAAGCCATTTAGGAGATGAGTATGTCTCCTTTCGAATTCACGTACGTGAAGAAAAACGTGCTTTCGAACTGGGCGGCCTCGAAAGCAAAACCAATAAAATGATATAAGGTCAGTAAGAGGTAGGTACCAGGATTATGAAATTGACAGATAACGCTTATATCTTACCTACTAATTACTGGAGACTGTATGCCGCAAGGTTAAGTGATCCTGTGCGCTTCATTTGGCTCAAATCAACTAGGTTCGGCCATTACAGTTGTTTAAAATGAGGGCTATCACAGTTTTAAAACACCGATTACGCATAAATTATGCAAACCCCCTAGGGTTGATGGGACATCGAACAATTAACAACCTGCTTTGTACCCGCTCAGAGTAAAAACGCAATAACAAAATGTAGATTGTTCTCAGGTGTCGAGTTCCTTTATGGCACATGCTCTCGTATTTCAAGTACTTCTTTTAGTTTCGACACGAGCTTAATGAGTTTTCGCTCTTTCAATTGCTAAATTATCCAACGCAATTCCAGAAATCCTTTTAAAAATAGAAACTGAATATTCCCGGGTATGCACAAGCAGTTTGTGATTTTACGCAGCTTGTACCGATCGAATTGCGGGGCACAAACAAAACCGTAAGAAAATAAGGCATATCTATCATTTATTCAAAAGAATCTTAATTAACCTTACATCCTTTCTGTAGAAACACAGGGGGAAATAATCAACTGATTGCCAAATACATTGCCGCTTGGTGTCACAATAAAGCTGGTTGCAGATCGAAAATCCAGTCTTGGGGGCACAAGCGAAGGGCGATCTTGACGGTGACAGCAATTTTCACTTTTCAATTCATGGCTGAATTGGATACAACTGTGGATAGTCATTTTTGTGCATGTCCAATTCTACACGATGATAATACCTTTAAAAAAAGTCGCAAAAAAAAGAAAATACTTGCATTGGAGTAATTCTATGTCCAATTCAAATTGTTGCGATTTTATTTAAAGATATTACGTCCATAAGGCTATTCCTATTCTGAATCCGTGACTACGGCGTGTCATTTAATAAACCGGAGTCATGTATTGTAACTAAATCTCATGTAATAAGTTTCGCTAAAAATACCCTTCCCCCTCCAAAACACACTTTTTAAAAACCACCTTTGACGCAAGTTGGGGCCCATGATACTCTTGTCGCGAATTTAAATGTGCTCTCTTTGCGCAGTTCATTCATCATCGGATGTAGTTTAGCTTAAGCACTCCGAAAAAATATTAACAACAGTGTGTAACCTGTTATTAACAGGGCGGGGCGGCTCTAATCGTGAAATTAAAGTGCTTTTCATCATTTTCGACGATCTCGACCCAGACCTCTACTCACGTGGTTGAGTAAGCTGTACAAGAGATAAAAAAGGATCGCATTACCGCGAAATAACATAAAACTGCACCACCCGAATTTAAGCGTTCTCAGCGTCCTTTAATATTTCATACTTTGTAGATTTGCAGTGCATTCAGATCCATCCATGTCCCAGCATTCAGTTCGTGCATTTAATCCAAAATCAGCGCTCCACTGGGCACTAGTCACAAAACAAATATGGCGGACGACGGCTGTAATCGATTGTAATGCGCTGTTTATTATCGAGATTTTTACCAAGAGGAGGCCAAATAAGGGATTCATACAATAGTTTCCTTTGGTTCTGAAATTTTTGGACGTACGCCTGACATATCTGCGTGATGTCGCTAGTTGCATATGGAAGCAGCGGTGAAGAAAGTGACTCGAGCGATTCGGAGGAGGTTCAAAGCTCTCGTGTTTCTAAAGAACCGATGATTACAAATAATGATGGCCAGGAAGATGGGGAAAAGCTTACCTCCACTGGAGAAGGAAGAGAAGAGGAGAATAAAACGGGTTTAGTTCTGCCGTCGCCCAAACAACGCAATGAAACTTCAAATTCTGTCAAAAGCAAGGGAAGCTTTAGCTTATCATCGTTTCTTCCTAAGCCCAAAAACATCAGCAATCGTGAGAAGGAGAGCACAGATACTTCAGATGAAAAACCTTCAATCAGCTCATCAGCGATGATGGATGATGAAGAGGAGATTTTAGAGATCGAAGAAGACTATGAGCCTATTGTAAAACGAACCAAAAAGATTCAGTCAAGTCAAATTGAGGATAAGCCGAAGTCTGTTGGAAGTTTGTTTTCTCTTCTCCCTTCTCCCTGGCAAGCTGAAAACTCTTGGTTAAAAACTGCTAACCCTAAAGTAAAGGCAAAGAGTAAACAGGCTACTTCAGAAGAGAGAGGTTCCAAACAACATGTAAAAATTGCTATTCCCATTGCCCCAAAGGTAAGACAAACAGGGATTGCAAGTAAGGGGGTATTTACATGACACCACTATGATTTCATACCAGCTTGATCTTATCTTGGTTCTTTTGGCTCTGTATTTGCTTACACAATTCCAGCAGAAATGCTGGTATCACTGCAGCCATGCTGGGACAAGTTCATTTTATTCCCCATTGCCTTGCTAATATTAGTTTTTCATCACAGTATGAATTTAGTTTTACTGGTATCATGCAAATGCAGGGAATGACTCATTATACAATGAATTTAAACCCCTGACGGACTGTTTTGGTGACCACATGCGTAAAGATATTTTTGTCATTAGATGATGTCTGGTTTAATGCCATAAGTGACCTGATATACATGTACATACTTGATAATCAAAAGAGAATTTGGAATTAGATCAGAAGTCACTTGGGACCTTGATTCCTTGCACCCCTTCATTTAAGGTATCAGCCACCCTTCAAGACCGTCCGCGCACGGATCGCTGTAGCGTTAGTTGTTTTTATAAAAACCCCTATAAACCATATATTTTTTAAAAGCTTAATAATTCCAGATTATGGATTTGAACTAACAAAAACGATTTACTACAATGTGTTTCGAAATTGGAACGTTCTGTGTAAAAGTACATGTCTCTATAAATCATGTTCCACTTCCCGGAAATAAACGGAAGAAAACAATTAACACCGCATTCGCTTCTCAACACGTTCCACCAAAAAACCGTGTCTCAGATTTTTGACAAGTGCGTTTGTCTTTCTTTTATTAGCAAATGAAGTTGGGGAAGGCAATTAGTCAACACTCCCTGTGGAAAAAAAGCTCTAGCTTTAAAATGAAAAGGAGTATTAAAATTCGCAGACACAGTTTTGTAGAAGAGATATATGGCATCACTCTGGTCAAATTTTAGCCAAATTGATTGAAAGGCTGCCGACTTGGAGTTCAAAACGTACGAGTCGATCGGCAAAATTTGCGTTCCGAGATAAAATAGAAAATACATTTTTGGCGGCATCCTACCTGGAATGAGATTATAACACCTAAATGTTTATTCTGATTGATATCAGAGAGGGATCAATTTTCTCTAACAATAGGACTTTGACAGGTAACATGTAACAGGAACAAACTTTTTATTGCTATCAACATCTTCAAGTGAACAGTTTAATTCTCCGTTGGAAAACTTCCACTCTTTTACACCACGAGAAGCATGGCTTAATTCTTTCTCGAGCAAAAGTTTTGCCTCTCCTTCGATCTTTTCTGTATGATCCGCGCAGGCGTTTTTGTTGACGGCGCTAGGCCAAGGAAACTAAAAAACTTTGAAGCTGCCAAATGTCCGCCACCGATTGCTCGAAGGCCAAGAACTGAGGCCCGGTATATTTCAAACGCTCTGCTCTTCTCGGAAGAATTAAAAACAGAATTTGTCTTGTGCGACGGACAGCTTTCATTCTCGCACTGGATTCTCCAGGTAGAACCAAGTCCATGCTTAGTCGCTACATTTTCCATGACTTGGACTCTTCCCTGGGAAAATCGACAAGATACAGTCTCGTCCAGTTTCTCAAGTAGCTTTTCGCTCGATATGATAGCTCGACCGCTTATTGTTTTCCACGTTCCATCAGCAGATGGGGTCGATGAGCTTAATAATTATTGGCTTTCTTCATCTGGCTCTTCAAGCTGGATTTTGGAGCGGCTTGCACTCTCAGCAACTGCAGCGTTTTCACTTTTCTGAATATCCAACTCCTCGAGCCACTTCTCTTGCTGATAAAATGAGCCTTTGTCGCTCTCTGCCAATTTTGCGGCCCATTCTTTGTCAAACTCGCTCTTCGATTTCTTTTTCTCTCTCGGTTTCGATGACGAAAACGGACATGACCTTTTCTTTTTTTTTTGGCGGCGTTTTCACTGAAGCAAACACTAAATATCCACGGAGAATACTAAAGGCTACAAACAACGTGAAGACAATTCGCACGTGTTGTGTCGAAGCATGCACTCGGTATCACGTTACTAGTTCACAGGCAAGTTAATTGGTATACGACATGGGTATGACAGATCTTGTCAACGATCAATTAAGATAGTTAACGAAAAAAATCTTTCACCCCCGATATCTTTCGACACAAATAATATTTTCCTCTGATTTTTTTTTAAAGAAAGCTCTCAAGCATATCTATTTGAAAACGTTGAAATCTCAAATATGGAAAAATGGCAATTTTAAGGGTGGCTGATACCTTAATCCAATTAAGGCACAAAGTTGTTACAGATTTGATCTGGTGATGATGGGCACAATTGATATAATTTGCAGTAAAAAAGAAAAGTTGCATAAGCAAGTGTTTCGAAGGCACCAGACAGACACTATTGGAACTGAACAGTGTGATTCTTCGCATAAAACAAAATGTAAATGATCATAAAGCCATGGGCACTAAATATCATCTCTTTTAAAGAGATGAAACAGTAGGTCCCAGTTGTTCAAAAGCTGGATGAATTTCTATCCACTGGATAAAGTAATGAATTGGTTTTCCCAATACTTCTCCTCTGGATGGTGATTCATACGGTGGATACCACTATCCACCTTTATTCTCGTAAGGACTAGAAACCACTTCTCCACTGTAAACCACTATCAGGCCTGGTTTTTCTTAGAAAGGACTAATGTCTCTAATGTCTGACCAGGTCTCACCAGGGGAGTTGCCTGTCGTACAAAATGTCAACTTTTAATTTCTTTAAGTTTTCAAATCTTTAGCCACAAAATAATAGTCTCTTTAAAATGTGATCTGTAGAGTATGATGTCTGCAGCTTGTAGGATTTTGTCAGACAGAGGGAAATTTTAAGTTGGACATTGTCCAATGGCTGACTGTTATTTGCAGCTCTGCGCTGTGGTTTGGTTGCTTGCATGTTTTACTGTGCAAGGGCTGTAGGGAAGATGAAGAAAAAAGTTCATCTGTGGAGGGTCGTGCAGAAGACTCACTTTTGGAAATTTTGAGCCACAACAATTTGCCATCTGTCCTCTTTGATTTGATAGATTTGTACTCTAACTATGACCCTTATGAGTACAGTGATAGTAGAAATGAAAACATTGTGCAAAAATAAAGTTTTGACTGATTTAGTTAAAACCCCTTTAGAATATATTTTTTTATTTGCAATAATAACATCAAAATACAAGAATACAGAACAATACACTACTAATAAAAAGAAAAGTGAGAGAAAGAAAAAAATACGATATAAATGGAAATTATTTACATCACAATATCTACATGTATACTAATTTTTTACAATAAAATTGAGGACAATAAACAATGTTTTTGTTGGATAAGGTTTTTGTGATAATTTATCCTGAATAATCAAGCTCGAGGTAAGTGTTATAAGCCGAGCTAAAGGCCGAGGCTGATAACACTTACCGAGACCTTCATTATTCCAGATATCACAAAAGCCTTATCCAACAATAATATTGTTTATTGACCTTTATTATGCATTGTTGGAAATCATGTATTGTACGTGCAACCAATAGATTAGTTAGTTGTCTGCTAGTGCTGATTTCCAAACTTAACTGTAGCCAATGAGAAGATAGATATACCTAACTGCATGGAAAAAGGTTATAAGAGATAACAATTACTTGAAGAGATAGTTAAACTTTCTATTTTCCATTGTGTTTTTCAATTATTTATAAGTTGTGTACAGTTAAGGAGCATTTCATTAATTTTACAACAATAATTATACATACTTTTTAATAAACAGGATGAGTAGATCTGGTCAGCGTCTGAGGTTATCATTTATGGGACCAGGGATATAGTTCCGCACGGCAAAATGGAAAATATTTCAACTTACAATGCAAGAATAAGAACTTAATGATGGCTATTTTTACTTTGATTATCAGACTGATTCAGATGATGAAGATGATAGTCCTGCGGCAAAGAAAATCATACCATCAAAGGTAACACACTTTAAATGAATGACTAGTGTTCGTGGATTCCAGGGGGAGATTTAAAGTTCCAAGTGGAGAGATAATTTTTTGTTACTGTTCGTTAACTTCAATACCCTTTAAGTCCCAATAGTGACCCAGGGTTTTCAATAAGAGCTGGTGGCTGGCAAAATTCGCCTGGCTATTTCACGTGAACTCACCGCCTACTTTTCTATGGAAATTACCCCAGTTTAAATACAGTATTCTTGACAGTGCTGTTCCAGGATAAAAAAGCTAAAATTTAATGATGTCTGTGTTCTGTTCAAACACTTTAATTTTTGCTCCAGAATGCTAGAAATGCATTCTAAGAGGCCCAGATTTTAAAATTTTTCCAGAAACTTGTGCCTTCAGCACTCACAAGTGCCTTTGCGGCAGACCAACAACAATAACAAGCTTTATTTGCATGACCATACAAACACATACAGTATGGCAAAAGCTCTGTTTAGAAATCAAAATTACAACACAGGGCAATTGTCACGAACATAAAAACAAGCTGAAATATATTTTATGAATTGTATATTGTAAAGTAATTAGAAGAGTTCATCAGTTCATTGATCGAAACGTTTATAGGTAACTGGGTAATATTTAGAATCAGAGCCTTGACTTTGTAGTAAAATTTGTTCCTAGTCATAGAGTATGTAGGACATTGAAAAAGAAAGTGAACTTCGTCTTCGTCCACAAAAAGGGCAATGCCTATTATCCTTCGTAGTTTGATTGTATCTGCCTATTTCCATCATGAGTTTGTGATTGCTTATTCGTAGTTTTACTAAAGCCCTTCTCCCAGCTGTTCCTCTTGTTAAGTCTAAGTAACTAGAGAAGGTATGATCGGTTTTAAAAGATCTATAAAATTCAAGTTTTTGAGAATGTTGAAGGGTGTTTTGCCAATACCAGATATATTCCTGTTTCATTTCAAAATTACATAGCTTTTTAGCATGGCTGTATCTAATAAATCAGGGTTAAAGTCAGGAAGCTTAAAGTATTCTGACATATTCATTAAATGAGAGTGGAAGCTATTTTTGCCATTACAGTGTAAGTCGAATGACATTAAAAAAGCTTGTTTGACAAGAGATTCCTCATCTTTAGACTTTATATACAAAATGTATTTGAGAATTTTTTGATTGATTGTGATATTTAAAAGAAAACGACCAAGCTCTGCTCTACAAGCTTTATTAGAAGCTTTGTTGTTTACCTCCAAGTATTGTTTGCAAAATTGAAGGTGTGCCTTCTCGATTTTGTGAGCCGTCCCAGGTCATAAAATCTGGTTTGGTATACACACCCCAAATTTCACTGTTATATGTTAGAATAGGGGAGATCATAGTATCAAATATTTTACAGGCGGGAGCTGCTTTTAGTTTGCTAAGATTCATGTGTCGTCTCAAGCTGAAGAGGGCATAAAGAGCTTTCTCCTTAAGATGTTCACGTGACACTGAAAAATTTCCCGATGAGCACATTTGAGTTCCTAAGTAAGTGTGCTCTAGTACAGCATCAATTATTTGACTATCTATGAGAAAGTGAAAATCAATATATTTTCTCGCATGTTGGGGAATTACTACATGTATACAATTTATGTTTGTTTATTTTTAGGAAGGATCTGGTCTTAAGTCACTTCTTCCTAAACCAAAGCACAGCATCACAATGAAAGCTGATAACCCAAACAAGCCCTCAGTGAAATTAACCAGTAGACCTTTGATACCTCATACACTCACTAAGAAAGCAAAAGCTGCAGAGAAAATGCCACAGAAAACAGCTAAGGTGTTAAACCAGGCAGAAGGTGCCATAAGTGATGACGAAGATGAACCAGTTAGTTTCTTTACATTCAGTGATAAAACTGAGAGCTTAACAGATGAAAAGGCTGAAACCATCCAAAGTCAAGATGCTAAGAGCAACTCTGGTTTAAAGGTTAATGAGCCAGTTCAAGAAATTTCAAATCACGCTGTGACCTCATTTTTGCGTGGCAAGGTGCCCTCTACTTCACCTACATTTCAAGGCGCTGCAGGTTTGACTGAGTCAAAGCAGCAAGTGGTGGAAGTGCCTAGTGCACAAGTAGATTTTGGAAGTGAAGAAAGCTTCAGTTCGGGGGAATTAGAGACAAAGACTTACTATTATGAACAGCAACCTGCACAGAATCAGCAGTATCCAGGCTATTCTGCTAATGATTATGTAAGTATTAAGTGACATACATTTAATGCGCCATCTCTAATAATAAATATCGGGGTTCCTTTTATTCCACTCCTCCCCAACCCCCATATGCAAAAAATTGAAGAAATTGTAGAATTTGCTAAAATTAATAAATTCATGTGTTAGAGGAGGTAGAAGGGTGCCAGACAAAAGCTGCGATTTTATTAACGTGACAAAGAATTGCGAAAAATCGCAAGTAACGCGAAAACTCGTACATGTTTGTCAACATAAATTCAAGCACGGCACACGGCACTAACTATCTGGGGATTCTCGGATTTGCAAGGTTACCTTGTTCGGCCAAGTGCTCACGTTTATGTTGGACACGGAACATCCCTTGTTGTAGATCACCTGCCGTTGTTCAGGGAAAGAGACCACATTCCTCCTCAGGAAGGAGGAGGATCTGACTCGAGAAATCGGCAGAAATCAAGCCTACCCTTGCAATATCTTTTCACTTGTGAACCAGCCTGGGAACAATGATGTCATATTTATAATTGTCAACCCCTTTTTTTTCAGCAATATTACAGCTACAACACTGGTAATTATGGCCAAGAATCAGAAGCCTATACATACACTTACCCCACAGGCACCCCAGCACAGGAGCAAACCCAGTTGCAAGAAACAAATAATATTGATCTAGAAAAGGTAATGTTATATATTGAATGTTGTGTTATGTTGTTGTTTAAATTTTGTTGACATTTTTCCTTGTTGCTAGCCTGCATGCAGTTGTCTTCCTATTCATTCTTTAGAAGTAGGAGTAGTCTGTAATCCAGGGGCTATTAGGGAGTTTAAGCAACAGCGTTTTTGAGCAACGAACGTCAACCAGAAGTGGACTTTTTGCACTCCTCGGCCGTGATTTTAAATAAATTCTTGGGCAAATTGTCTCTGTATGAGTAAAGACACTTAACAACACAAATTTGGTAGCGTCAAGGCATATTAAAAGAGAAAAAGGATCACTTCCGGTCGACCTGCATCGCTCCAAAACGTCGCTACTTAAACTCCCTATTATTTTGTTTCAAACTTTGTTTTCACTAACTCAGTCATAATTTTTATAGCAATAGGACAATTGCACGATGACGATATTTGACTACAACTACCAGAATTCATTTCGGTTTTGCTTTGTTATTTAAATTTGTCAATCCCGCTGAGGATTAAAGAACAATAGCCTTAATTTGCACAAGAAAACAACAAACTCAAGGATTCTGGTAGTTGTAGTCAAATGACGTCATCGTGCAATTGTCCTATTGTATGATTTTCTTAGTTACACAAACTCAAAGGGAAGAGAAACCGCCACGAGGAAATTAACATTGTTGATGTTAATGCTGACGACCAGATTGGCAACTCTGCAGAAATGGTGGCGAAATATGGCACAGAGGAAGTAGCCCATCGACCTTCACGGGTAAACAGTTGTTTATATATATCCAGATTTAGCTCGGCATTAATTTATTTGTACACATACCGTAAAGTTCCGAAAATAAGCCCCGGGGCTTATATTTTTCAAAGGCCCTTTTTGAGGGGCTTATTTTTGGAGGGGCTTATATTCGGAGGGGCTTATCTATGGAGGGAAAGTTACGTTTCAAAATCGATTAGGCTAGCCTTATAGTTGGAATGAAATTTACCATTTTTGCCTTGTTTTACTTTGTAGTTGAGGGCAATTTCCAAGTACAAGCCGCCCGGGGGGCTTATATTTGGAGGGGCGATTTAACGGAGGGTTTTTTGCGTTACGAGTTTGGGGGGCTTATATTTACATACATACATACTTTATTGTTACCTCCCCAAAGGGGCTTTTCAGAATTTGGAGGGGCTTATACATGGAGGGGCTTATTTCCGGAATTTTATAGTAGCTTGACTGTTTCATGTAACGATTCAATAGGTCTGGAGTCCTAATATCTTGACGGACATCTCTATTTATAAGAAAGGTCTCCCACTGTTTGCACAAGGGTATAAATTCAAAGTATAATTATGACATTGCTCCACTTCGCTTCATGTTAAAGTAGCTATGTCACGCTATTTGTTATCTTTTTGAACAGCTAAAATGTGTCTCCACATCAGTTGAATTCTAAAAATAATAGTCCAGTTTTGTTCTTTAAGACTATTTGTAGGCATTGAAACTGTTTCCTGTCGTCCGTTGCTACGGATGTCAAGGATGGACGTGGATTGAAACTTGAAAAAGTTGGGCCATCTTTTTCAAGTTTTAATGCCATGCCTGTAAAAATCACCAAAAACGATTATGGGTATTATGGTCTGGGTAGCGCCCATCGATGAGATTTGTTTGATATTTTCTTCACAACTTTACAGGAGAATTTCGTGTATGGGCACAGGTGGCCCAAGCTCAGTATGAGAGTTTAATCATTAATACATGTGGTTTTGTATTGGGTAATCCTTAAAATGGCCGTCCCTGAACATAAAGGATTTGTCTGGGAATTCAGGTAAAAGATTCAAGAATATAATACTCGCTAGAATTTTCAATAAAATACACCTTACCTTCTTTAATTTACTTGTTTTAGCTTGCCGTACGGTTATTTTCCCGATCCATTGCGATTTAAGCGATTTCCTTTAACCCCAAATAACCACACACCAAGCAAAAACAAGTAAAGTAAATAAGGTGTATTTTATTGAAAATTTTAGCGAGTATTTATATTCTTGAATCTTTTACCTGAATTCACACACAAATCATTTATGTTCAGGCCCATTTTAAGGAGTCCTCAATATGAAACCACCTGTATTAATGATTAAACTCTAAAACTGAGCTTGGGCAGCCTGTGGTATGGGTAAGGGCACTAAGTAATGACTCCAATACAGAATTGACCTAGACAGCAATATTGACAGCAATATCCTGTTGACATATCGCCGTACCGGTAAATCTGTCTTCCGGAGGTGAATGATTTATGTCCCTATTTTATTGCAGAAAAAGAAGGACATGCCTACAGCTCAACAGAGGAGAAAGCATCAAATAACTTATCTAGCCTATCAGGTAAGTCGCGTTTGCCACGTGGAGGGTAAATTTCAGGACAAACATTCATTAATTTTTACTTCCATTAAATCCTGTCTTCTTTATGGCTACAACCATCGTTGAAAAAAATCTAACGATCTGGACGATAGCGATTGTAAATCTCAAATCTATGATCGCCGCTTTTGCTATGATTGTTGTGGAGTTGCTGTACGTCATATAATCTCCACGTTCGCCGAATTTTCTTTTCAACGATCATATTGAAACCAGGCTTTACAAGGATCAAGAGAGGCCCTTGCCCTACACTTTTTTGGCAATTCAGACGAAAAAATTAAAAATTAAATACACACAAGGATGCAAGTTGCTGGAACACAATGTCGTAGCATCCCCTGTTATTCTCAAGCAGGTCCTTGTTAGTCAGCTAATGGGGAACCCCATTACTATGACCAAATGACCGAATGTTTTTTAAGTTAAGGCTACGGAAATGAAGTCATAATAACAAGGTGGGTGGTAGCCTGCGAATTCAGCCGCCTCTCCTCGCTCCTCGCCGCCGACGTCACTACCGGGGGTAGGTTTGGGGGAGGAGAGACGACTGTGCTGTATTCGAAGGCCAAGTGGGCGGTCGAAAGTCGGGGTTCCACTGAATTTGTTATATAGCTTAAGTTGGAATTTTCTGCCCCAGTTGTTGCGCCCTGACATTGTCGTATGAGGCACTGAAAAAACCATGAAACTGTTTCCTTTCAAAGTCCCAGAGCAGGGGATAACAGTGCAGTGTTTGCGAGAGACTAACTTTATTTCCTTTTTAATCCCAGGCTAAAGAAAGGGAGTTCGAGCTGCGACAACAGTGGTCTGCCAATCGGCAAACACGGAGACAGACTCAGTCAAAGTATGGGTTTTGATGCTCTTAGTGACGCTTATTTCGGTTCCGATCTAATAACCATGTGCTGTAAATGGCTTTTGTATGCCGTCATTTCTTGGTGACGCGAGGAGTGGCGTTGTGAGAAGAAGCAAAAGATGCACTGCTGTAGACTAGCCTACATAGGCACAATATTAAACCAGCGTTCAACAAAGGAAAGAATTACACTGATGTTTGTGAGATACTTAGCTGTAAGCCTGGTGTAAGCAACCATATAGGAAATACAGGAAATGTCGAAAGTATTTTCTACTCGAATTCGAGTTTATGTTGTTTTCTTGTCCAAAAGTCCCCCTTTTCGAATACGCCCACTGGGCACTGAACACTACCGGAGGCGAATTTCCCAAAGACAAATTGAACGAGAATCTTGTTCCAGGAAAACTTTCCCTGGAACTAGAAAGGTCAATACAAGAAGTCAACCTCGTTCCAAGGGTAGAGAAGAGACGCTGGGAACAAATGGAAATGAGGTATCATTGCGCTTAAGGTGGCTGTACAAAGTTTTGGCAGTTTGTGAATATATGTAATTTGCCAAATCATGGCAAGAGAAAGGTTGCAGCTCACAAGCTGAAACTTGGCAGGTGAAAATATACTGATGAAATATTTTGATTGACAGGTAAAATTTGACGTTTTCGTAGTTTCCATGGCAACATGAACGATTAGATACAACCATAAAATTTCACTTTTGCTCAGTTTACATAAAATTCGCTCGTTAGATTTTCCTATAAACTTGCACACAGTTTACTATAATTAATCATTACCATTTGAAACTTATTTGACCAAATTTTAACAGACGGGTTTTTAGATAATCAATAATATAATTGTACTGTAATTATGAAATGTGTCACAAAATTCGTCTGTTTAACTTCCATTTTAAAGTTCTCATTATTTAAAATACGATAAAATTAAAAATTCTGCCGAAAAATATCACAAAATTTTAATGAGTAGATTTTGAGAAATCGTCTTCTGTGTACCATTGTTTGTCCACTGTAAAACACGCGCCGTCACGCGAGTTACCGCTGACCGCCCGCAATACTGCGTTCACCCACTTAAGCAACGGCGTTTTGAGCGACGAACGACAACCGGAAGTGGACCTATCGCATTCTTGGACGGTGGTTTGGCCTAAATTTTCGAACAATTCCTCTCTGAAGCAGTTATAGCATTAAGGCATATTGAAAGGAAAAAGGTCTCACTCCCGGTTGCCATGCGTCGTTTAAGTTCACCCTTGCTTAAACTGGACCTCTATCTTACACCGTATTCACAAATGGCGGACACGCGGGAAAAAACTGGTGCCTAGTCATGAAAGCGAGGCGTTGGAGGGTAAACAAAGACTGCAAATGAAGACTTTCAGTGAACTTGCAGAGTGTTTAGCACGGATTCCACCTAAAATAACTTTGTACGGACTTCTTTTAAAATACAATTACGTGGGATGTCTTCTGCTTTTAATGTTTAGTATTGATTTGCTGTTTGCAATCAAAAGGGACGCGTATATCTTCAAGGAAACAAGATGATTTTGTAGGTTTCCGAAGCATCAGAAGCTAGACAAGTGGGCGATGGCTGGAGAAAAGCGGCAAGCATGTTGGCCCAAACTTCACATTGAAACCGAGTTCGAAAGCCAGCTCACTGCAATTCGGTAAAACAGAAATATAAACAATGCAAATCTTGGGGGCAAGAAAAAAAGAAATAAGCGATGGATATATGGCCTACTTGTTAACGCAAGAGACGTGTGCCATTGAACAAAACAGTTCAAATCGAGATGGAAAAAAGGAAGACAGGAAAGAAGCGGTGACTTAGGTTTCGATGAAGTTATGTTTGGTGTTTATTTGCCAGGACGCTATTCTCTGGTCTTTATCGATGAAGGACATCAATTAGAACTATCTTTTTGGTATAAATGCAGGAGCGATCGAGTGGAGTACGCTCAAAATTTCGACTTGTCACTCGGCAGACTCGGTAAGCCGGCCACATTTCATTTCAGCGAGTAATTTTCCTATTTCCTATCTTTGGCTGTTATGAGTTTTAACTTCATGTTCCATAATGTTTTAAAAGTGAAGAATACATAAATAAGTAAAATGATGGTCTTCTTAAACGGATCCAGACTCGCATTTACTGATTCGAAACAGAAGCTTGCCGTGTTCAGTCCTGACAAAAACATTGCCTTAAAAGTTTAACCTAGTAAAATGTGAGCTTTATACCACTTTTTTACAAAGAGCTCTCTGAGATAATGCCGTAAAGGAGACCAGGCAAATAGAAGGCCATAAGATTCACACACTAGAGCTTCTAGTTTTGATAAAATTATTTTATTTCGCAATGCAAAGAAATCAAAAGATTTTAGATTTGCACTGAATTTGCTGAGCTCTGCCAACGTACCTCTAACAATTCACTCCAAAGCGACGGAATTGATATCATCCAAAGGAAGTTGTAAATACAGACATACATAGATATGTGTAAAATGACACTGACATGAATGAATGAGTCTCGTGAATGAATCTTTCACCCGCTCTCGACTTGACCAGTTTTGAGTAATGGCGGAGGTCTCTTCCGTTGGCAAGTAGGCCATCTATCCGTCGCTTTTTTCTTTTTTTCTTGCCACCAATATCTGTTTTTACTTCTGTTTTACAGAATTGCAGTGAGCTGGCTTTCGTATTCGGTTTCAGCGTGAAGTTTGGGCCAACATGTTTGCCGCTTTTCTCCAGCCATCACCCACTTGTCGAGCTTCTGAGGCTTCGGCAACCTACAAAATGATCCTGTTTCCTTGAAGATATACGCGTCCCTTGTGATTGCTAACAGCAAATCAGTATTATACATTAAAAGCAGAAGACGTTCCACGTCATTGAATTTAAAAAGACGTCCATACAAAGTTATTTTAGGTGGAATCCGTGCTAAACACTCTACAAGTTCACTGAAAGTCTTCATTTGCAGTTTTTGTTTACCCTCCAACGCCTCGCTTTCATGACTAGGCCCCAGTTTTTTCCCGCGTGTCCGCCATTTGTGAATACGGTGTTTTGGACTGAGTGGAGTCGAATTCGATTTGTAATCGTACGAGTGATTAACAAAATCAGACGACCGCTTAGCGGGAGTCCGATTTGTTTAATCACGAGTATGATTACAGAAAGAATCGGACGACACGAAGTTCGTTTACCAATTAATCATAACTTAAACAAAATTTGAGGTATATAAGGCTCTTTTTTTTAATCAAAATTCAAGAAGTTCCAAGTTTTTTTGCCACCAGCGAAAAAAAAAGTCATTTAAGGGCGCGCGTGATGGCGCGTACTGTTCAATTACTGAGGCATGACGCGTACTGTCCTATTACGGCTGAAATCAGGGCATTTGATAGCCAATCAGATTTGAGGATTTTGTTATAGTTATGATTAAGCAGTTAATGCACCAATCAAATTTAAGGAAATTGTAATGGTTATGATTAAAGCGAAAATCATGTTAAGAAAATATTCCGTGTCATTTGCCTCTGTCGGCTGTGTCGTCACATGTTCTATGAAAATCAACGCCATGAAGTTGAGAGTACCCGTAATTCCGCCCTACTTGGTTTTCACTAAAATAAAGCTAAGAATAAGATCACAAATAGTTTTTACTTTGAAATTTAATTTACCAGGATGAATCAGTAGAACGAAATACATATCATGCAAACCAGGCATATTAACCCATGCATTTTAAGTTAAGTATGTACAAAAATGTTACAATGCATGGTCCTACGACCTTACTGTGATGTCTTCGATAATGAAGATAATTCTTATACGAAAACGATATAAACAGCCACACAGACGCATGTAGCTATTATTTTGTAATCTGCAATGACTGCTAATGTTGGCCAGCAAGCGTTTTTTTTTATGCGATAATATAGGCCTTATAACGTGAAGAGGGAACAGTTTAATTGCAGTCCCTTCTTCATTGATACTATCCTAGACAGTACCTCTCTAAGAGGCCACGTTCGATGTAGGAAACGGAACGCGTTTTAAAAGCCCTTCTCCTGAGAGAGGCAACCAGTTGTTTTTCTTCTAGCGTAAATTTACGTCTTTTCCAGTTCCTCCACCATTCGTTCCTTCTTGAACAAGCAAGCAATTAGGACAATAATCTTAAGCAAAGGCGTTTTTGAGCGACGCACGTCAACCTTTTAATATGCCCTGACGTTAACAAATTTTGCTCTCATAGACACGATTTGCCCGAAAATTTCGGCAAAACCGCTGCCCAAGAATTCAAGAAGTTCTCTTCCGGCTGAACTACGTCGCTCTTACAGTTATTCCTAAGCTTACATGAGCTATAATTCCAAACGCAATTGAACATGTGTTTCCTACAATCCATTCTGAGAACTGATGAATCCTTAACCCTTAAAGCCCCAAATATCCACATACAAATTCTTCATATTGATCTTCATACATCCCTTAAGAATTAGTTGAGAAAATTTGATAAAAGATCAAATTATTTTCCCTTAGGAGATCATTTTATCAACTCTCGTAACCTTTTTTCTTGATCATGTACGGATATTGTAAGGAGAAAATTGATCTTGGTCACTATTGGGACTTGAAAGGTTAAGAGGAAAATAGGCATTGCAAGATGCATGTCCATGAGACTGGATAAGCGCTAAAGCATCAGTAAAACAGTTGTTTTAAATAAAGGAACTAATATAAATTTTCAACGACGATAACTTCATCTAGCTATCTTTTTATCTACTTCTCTTCTCCGAGACTCAGGATCGAAGATCTTCGGAAATCGTCCATCTCTTATTACTTTTGTGGGTACTCCTGGTTTAACGCGACACGAGAGCGTGAAAGTATGATTCAAGTTAATCGCTACTTCTCCGCTCTTACGGGATAACAGCCTGTTTACTTATACAAGATAACATTTATACAGTACAAGCTTGGTTACATTTACATATATTTACATACAAAATAACGCTAACGCTTGATCATATATTTCTTGATAAGAACTGCTGTTATTTAAGAGCCAAGAGAGCTGGCAAGAGAGCTGTTTCCTTTTAAGTCTTGGAACATATTTCAGCAGCCGCATTTCGTCGAATGACTTGCAGCAGGAGCAATCGGCTCCTGCTTGCAGCTGTATTGCGCCATCCACAGAAAGGCTGCAACGTCTTGGAAGGACTTGAATGACAGGCGAGGAGTGCTACGTTGCCTGTTATCCAGACTTTTTCCAGTTATGCATTGGATGTTGTGTATCTCTAGTTTATTCTCTTCTTGTAATTCTCGGCTGTTTACGTGCACGCTATGCCGTGTGGAACATAATTTAGCCTAATTGGTTTTGTAGAAACACAGAATCTCTCATGGAACAAACTAGACAATTTGCTTTTAGTTCTCACAAATTGCTATTGATAACGTAGCGAGAATACTAACTGCTAGTTTTAATGTAACAACTTTTTAATGTCATGAGTAATACTGAATGTTTCACTTCGTTGATATGAGCATGAAAGATTCACATTTAGGACCCCAAGCTGGCTATCGCCATGTTTCAACACCGTAATGTTGCAGTTCCTCCAGATGGTTTTCATTAAAGAGCTTCGTAGTCGTCAGGAACTTGTTCTGTTAAGAGGAAAGAAGAAAAAATGAAAATCAGTCACAGGAAGCCTCAGTGTGGACAGAAGCGCGGGTATTGTTGATGGTGGTACTTAGTGATGACACCAATGATTTTGACGATCAAAATAATAATGGTGGTGGTGGTGGCGAAGACGACGACGATAATGGTAATGATGTCGATGATGGTGTTGATAGTGATAATGATGATGATGATGATGGTGATAATGGTGATGATAATGCTGCTGCTGATGATGATGACAATAGCCGTTTTCCAGCTAAATGCGCTTTAGTTTAAGGCGTTTCGTTTTAATGCTAGACGCATTTGTCTGAGACGTTAAACGCGACTGTCTTCTGTCGCAAAATAGCCTGCGTCGCAGACGTCATCTAACCCCTGTTAGTAACGTCTGCGAAGTGGCGCCGATATCCTTGATCTCAGCCGGAGCCCCCAACGGACTCAACGAATTACCAGAAGTGCGTCTCGAATTTCCCTTCAAACTGATTGGCAAAGGCTTTTTAAGAGGTCAATCACGGCGCGTACTCAAATCCTGGTGTAAAGGTTGGGCCCAGAACAAGGATTTCGGTGCTGTTTCGCAGACGGACTTAAACAGAAGTGTATTTCCGTCGGTGGCGCAGGGTAGCATAAAAACGGACAATGGGAATGATGATAGTGGTGATGATAGCTATGGTGATAGTGTTGGTGGTGGTTTTTGATGATAGTGGGATGAAAATAAAGATGACAGTGGATGAAATATAAATGATGAAATATTAATGGATGATCGTGATGCTTGTGATGGATATGGTCGTAGCGAAAAAAGTTGTTACCTACCGTTACATTTGTACGACATGTTTGACCAGACCACTTTTGCTTGTGAAAACACGTACATCCCAACCTTTCCGCCTTTAAGGGTCTTGTCAATTAGGTATCCTGTATCTACCACTAACTCTCCCTCAGAAAATACTTTCAGCCTGAAAACGGAGCAGAGAACATAAAGCACACAAATAGATTGATAATGCAGCAGTGAATAGCTGGCATTTAAATAAGATGACATGTTACAAGGGCAAAGATGTTCGAGAAGTTATTCCCGTAATTAAAAATTTCCTTTTCTTTTTTCTTCGAATAGCCCGGGTGACTATTTAAATTTCGACGAAAAGGAGGGGCATTTCTTTAAAGGAGGGCCAAAAAACGATTTAAAACCTCACTTGGCTGACCACGAATAATGCACATCGTGTAAAAGAAAAGAAAATGTTATAGAACATCTCGAACTAATCTGGCCTAACAGAGGAAAAAAGCTCTTCTGTATTGACACAATTAAATAAAGTAAGACATGACATAGGATTTCCCGATTTCCTACTACTATAAGAGAAATTTAGGGAAAGGGGGAAACTTCTTTACTTCATAGAGCAAATGGGTAGTGCGTATGTGAGGGAGGGCGCTTATGGAAGAGTGAACCCTTAATCGAGGAAGTATTTTTGTCTTACCTAATTAATCCAATACTCGGTCTGTGCATTAGCGACCACTCATAATCTGTTTTGTCCTTCCATCCAATCAAATTTTGATCTCTCCAAATCTCTTTTACCTGCAGCAATTCAAAAGATACCATGTTAACAAAGTTATTGTTACATTTCTAACAGCGAACTCCTACTTTGGAAAGAGGAAAAGTGGTAACAATTCTGAACTTGCACGTAGACTATCCAGGTGTACATGTATTTTGTTTCTTTCTTGAGAAATCTATTACATTCTCAACTGTTTGACCGATTGGGCGAACGCGTCACATGGTCCAAGCGTCGGCTAGGTCGCCGAAATGCACTGACCGAGAGGGCCTGGAAAGACGCCGCACAGGGACTAAGGACGAGTGGATCAAGTCCCTCGCAGTCACACCATGCGTAACGTTGCAAGTAACAGGGAGGGCATGCAAGAGTGAATTTGACCAACTTTGAAAAGAGATGACTCCCTAGAGCAGAGTTACGTGATTAACAAACGACCCAAAATAGTTTTATATTTTGCTAACTCTTTGTATTTATTCTCTTCATGTACTACTTACTTGTCCTTGGGCGTTCCCAGAATTCCATAGTGCATTTCTAAGAGCAGGTCCAGGGCCGGTATCAGAATTAACCAACTGTGAGAGAAAAAATAATACATAAAAAAGGTAAATCAATAAATTAATAAATCCGAAGATCCGATCCCATCCAAAAAGCATTACCTTGATTTGAATCCCTCGCACGGCTTTAGCTCTGAATGGATTCATTTCCCAGTAAACCTGATTCTGCTGTTTCCATGAGACGAGGTAGAATTTTCTGTTACTTTGGTAACTGAAAACCAGTCCTATGAAATCGTCATCATGTGACGTTTGAACCTGTACTGTGCCAGAGAAGTCAACACCACTAAAGCGGACGGGTCCTGTATTAAAATAAGTTAGAAAACATAGGTAAGTGAAACGATATTGACGACAATTCTTTCAATTTTTTGGGCTGAGAAAAAAAAAATACTAAAAAACGACTTACCCACGGCTATTGCTGGATCGCTATTTTCGGTTTGTTCTACTTTCTTCCCCTGCAAAAAAAGAAAAAAATTACCTTTAACCTGGCTACAGTATAACCGCAAACCGGCACAATCCTCCCATAGATAGATACCAAACTGCCGGCCCAGCAATTTCACCTCAAAGAAAAACGGTCAAATTGCTGTACAGATCAGCCAGGAACCATTACTCCACGAACAGAATACACCCCACTCCCCACCACATGTCAAAAAGATGGTTTCTTATTTTACATTGCCCCCTTCTAATACAAAGAGATAAACGTATACGATTTAAACGTCTCAGAGTAGTTGGCGTCCTCCAAAAGAACGTCTGCACGGGAGGCTAACAACCTATGTTAATGAACACAAACTATTTCAGTCACACCTCAGATTTTTCACGTCAAAAGTTTTGTCCACCACGCTCATTATATAGATGGTGTCTCGAAAGCCTACCACCCATAATCAACGTTTTTAGTCTCCCATGTGCGGACACTATCATAAGCGGGTGCGGACTGAAGCTTAACCAACTTTCAAGTTTCTGGTCGGCTCATTAATAAACGTAAACTAACACTTTAAATAGCTGGTATTCATGTCTTAATGATTAACAAAATTGTGGACTCGGTCAAGCTTAACGTGGAGGGCAGGCGTCTTGGAATAGTTGGTCTTACCTCTAAGTCTACCTGCCAGACAGCTGGCTGGTAACTGCTCGTGTCTTCGGGCACAATTAGACTGATCTTTTGCAACCACGTGAAATCAGTATGCGTCACATGATGGTTAACTGAACAAGCATCTTCTTCATCCGGGATTTTGTCGGCATCAAAATCCCCATCACAAGGATCCCCTAAACCATTACCTGCCAGGGAGGAAAACATCCATTGCAATTAATATCGTGTGAGAAAGGACCAAAAAATCATTTCGTTAACGTACATATATACTGTTTACGGGTAACCATTACGACACCTAACCGTTGAAGTCCCAATAGTGACCAACATCAATTTTCTCCTAACGGTATCCATACAATGTCAAGAGATTAGGTTATGAGAATTAATTAAATGATCACCACCGAGAAAATGCTTTGATCTTTTATCATATTCTCTCAACTTATTCTTTAAAGAAATGTATGGAGATCAGTTTGGAGAATTTGCTTGTGGATATTGGGGCTTAAATGGCTAAAGCAGCATCATGAGGTTATCCCTATATTAAAATCTCTCCTTACAAATAACCCATTCAGCCCATGAAAGCCGGTTGGCCGGGCCACACCACCGGTGTCTAAGTACCCTACTCTTTTCGAACAGTTGGATGGGTTCTTTTACGTCCAACAAGAACCAGATAAGAGAAAGTGCTGTGGGACGGGACCTACGGTTTTTCGTCCTTATCCGAGAAGACTCGAAAGTCTAACCGTTAGCAGATGTCATTAGAGAGGCAGCACTTTCTTCTCAGCTATTTAAAGACCCTGAGTGTTGGTCCGGCCGGGGTTTGAACCCGCGACCTCCCGCACAGCAGACTGGCGCTCTCCCAACAGAAAGGAGAAGTCGTTACGTTCCGTTGCCATGGTAGCAAAGCCGGCTATATAGCAAGAAGTTAACGAACAAGTAAGTAGCTAGTTATTGAGGAAATGGTACGAACCGTTTAAGTCTCGTTGTGTTGGATTGGGCACTAGTTGGCAGTTGTCGGACCTATCTGGCACGCCATCATCATCATCATCGTCATCACAAGCATCACCTACAATAAAGGCAAGGTAATAATAAGATAGTGAACCAGAATGCTTTAGTTTTGGGTTCAGTGCTATACTGGAGAAATTTAATAAAATCAAGCCAGTATTAAAAGCGAGCGGGGAAATCATTAACGTCTGGACAAAAGCTGCAGTCTGAAAATTTCGTTACCATGGTTACAGTCTTGAGCTTTCATCCGAGGACAAATAAGATAGCACATGCTTTTTATGTGAGTGATTTACTCTGGCACTAAAAATTGATCCAAAAGTAAATTTTTGCCGATACAATGATCAATCTAGGCATGCTACTGGCTGCCTCGTCCCCAGTCGCTCGCGAGCACTAAGGGATATTTGCGTTAATTATCAAGGGAAGCGGCAACGAAGGGAGAGATGGGAAGGGGAGAAAAAGCCTCTCTCTCTTCTTTTCGTTCCCAAGACTCCTCTCTCGCGCTTCTCGCTTGTGTCGCGTGCTTGGGTGTTCCCCATTCCTCACTTAGCCTTGGGACTGAGCCCGTGTAGAAGGCAGTGCTAGTGATTGAAACATATTCTTGGGTTCGACGTTCGACCCCCTCTAGAAAGACCACCATGACTGACCTCTTTCATCTCCATCATTGTCTATTTGATCCGGGTTTGACTTTCCTCTGCAGTTATCGACCATGTCATCTACACCATCATTATCATTATCACGGTCGGTGTCACAGTTGTCACCCAGTCCATCGGCATCTCTATCGTACTACAAATAAAATAACAAAAATAAAAAAATATTCAGTTAAAATAAGGCTGTCGCCATAGTGCCGGATTTAAAATACTAAATCGTCTCCTAACTCTAAATCACTTTTTAAAAAAAACCCTGTTAGTTGCAGCTCTAATATCCCGCTGTCAAGAAGATCTTCGAACCCTCTAATTTCATTCACTTCCTGGCACGCAGCTCTATTGTATCAAGGCCAGGCTCCATTGTTTCTGTTAATGTTTGTTTATTGTCTTCTCGTCCCTGTTATCGCCCATAGTGATCACACGTTCTACTCTCCCAAGTCCTCCTCTGTCCTAAAACACGCCTGTATCTCTTTCCCTCTAAGTTAATTAATAAATGTGGTAGCCTAAGTTACCAGCCGACATTTCGCGACGCCACCACTGGTTTCCCCGTGAAATAACGTCTGAGCGACGACTGCAGAAAATCCATACTGATGACGCTCACTAGCCAGATCTTGGTAGTGCTTCTGATGATTGGTCTTACTTGAACTGAGAGAAATTTTCTTCAGCCAATCAGAAACGCTACCAAGATCTGGGTTGTGACGCGTCATCAGTATGGAATTTCTCCAATCGTTGCTCAGACGTCATTTCGTGGGGAAACCAGTGGTGAAGTCGCGAAATGTCGACTGTTTTCTCGGGCTATACATGTGGCATAATTGTGACTTTGAAGCACTATAAGATGCGCGATTCAAATCAGATACGGTATTTTGCTGAGTCTGGAAATGATGCCTTAAAATGATGAAAAAAAACTACTGTAATGTATTTGCCCTCAGTCAGTTTTGCTAAAAATAAAACAGCGTTTTCCTGAATTTGGCCTTAAGGTTACTACAAACCTGGCCTCTATTCTGTACTGTGGGGCAGTTATCGCACGCATCACCCACTCCATCGCGGTCGCCATCCTCTTGCAGTGAGTTATGTACCATTCGGCAGTTATCAATAGAGTTCAATACACCTGTAGAAAAAAAAGAAGCGTCAGGTCGTTGCGAACATAAATACGGGAAAACGCAAGTAGATAAAAAAGGGAACAAGTGCTGTAGATTTCCAGGAAGATAGAGCCACCCTTTGGGACGAGCCTTTAAGTTATAGGGAGTGTATTCAAATGGAACCCAAACCGTTAGAGAATCCGTTGAAAAGGAATCCAAAAGCAACCGCGGAAGATTACACTTAAATGATCAACGCAAAACATTGTAAATTGCACGGTTGTAAATTTTACTGACTTCAGCACAAGTTTTGTCACATTGAGCCTACTAGTAAGCGGTCTTTGTCGCGATTTGTGACAAAGTAGCTGAGATGCGTGAAACAAACCATATAACAAAAGATACGGTAAAATGGGCGGCAGAAACTCGCATCTTGTTTTGCAACATTCCTGCAAAAAGAGTTTTATAGCAATGTTGCGCTTTTTACTAACCACGAATCAAACCTGCGGGCCTTGCAACAAATCAGGTTGTTGCACATTGCGACAAGGTTTTACAAAAAGTAGAGAGTAGCTCTACTTTTCGCAACGAAGTCTCTACATATTGCCCGTTTTACCGGCCCAAGGCAAACTTGTTTTGCAACAAGTGACGTTACTCCCGTGTTTATTATGGCGTGACTCCCACCCAATTCTATCCAGTCAGAGGTTAGTATTCACGCAACTTGCAAAAACATGATCTGTTGCAAAACAGTTTTGAAAGTGGGTGTTAAAACGCGTAACTCTTTTTGCAGCGATGTTGGAAAACAGGTTGCACGTTTTTGTAGGCCGTTTGACCGTAGCTTAGTCAATGACTAGAGGCAAGATATTATCGATCGCCCTAACTTACCGTCTCCATCAATGTCCCTGTCACAAGCATCACCAACACCATCCTTATCGAGATCTGCTTGAAGCGAGTTACTGACATACGGGCAATTATCACAATCATCGCCTAATAAGTCGCCATCATTGTTATACTGAGCACGGTTCGCATTACGCGGGCAATTATCCTAGAAAAACCAACAACAGGGATAAGCAAGGCACAGAATCAATAGAGTGCCGTCTCTGAAAATATACAGTAACCTTTTTTAATTGTGCAGATTATGCACTTTATATAAGCAGGGGTCAAACTTTAAGTCAGCTATCTTTAACGACCCTCCCCTTCCATCCGCTCTAGGCATACCAAAAAATGGTGCAGGAATTTTCTCTTGAATCATTACCTTTCACAATATTAAATCCTAGACTGACCTAGTTGCTTCACCTGCCAATTGACTTAAAATTTAAATTGTTTTGATGTGTATCTGTTTGTCTTTTAACTAGTTATATTTACTTTTTGTATTGAGTCTCTTTCTTGTATTAAGTACTAAGAATTTGTTTCCCCACAAATCAGAGCAAGGAACTAGTTCATTTTTATCATTTGACCTTTTTCTCTTTTTCTCTCTAGTACCTTCATCTGTACGTGATCTTGTTCAGTTTGTGGAAAAATAAACAAATAAATACATAAATAAACTTTTTTCTCTTGCACAAGCTCCACGGGCAAATTAGCGTGCGTGGAAGCCTGTTGTGAGCGTTGAGATAGTGAGGACAAGGCAAAGAAAATTGAGCAGGGAGAATCTACTCGCGCCACTCTCCACGAACGCCTGGAATAGGCTACCTGCGTGGCAGGGTATTGCAAAGGATGCCAGAGGAGCGCGCGAGTTCCCTTCTTTCTTTCCCCTTCCAGCGCCTACTCGGCACGCACGCAGGCAACATAATAATTAGCAAATCAGTTCTCTACAGTACGCGATATAAGTTTAACCTTAACTGTGCTGCTACCAACTCTTCATTCCCAATCATAACCAGGCAACACTATCAGAATTCAGTGTTGTGCTGCCCTGTGAGGAGAGGTTTTATTTCTGGCATAGCTCTTAGCATTTACGAAGTTGTTTGCGTCACTTGCTAGTCGCTTAGTTGGTTTGTTTACGCCCCGAGAGACGTATATTATAAACACACCAGCTAAGCGACTGACAAGCGACGCGAACGGGTTCGTAAATGCTTAAAGCCATTCCTCAAAGAAACGTCTGCTCGCAAGTGAATCGTCGGGTACTTACCCGCTCATTTCTAATATTGTCCCCATCCACGTCGTCATCGCAAATATCTCCAATACCATCGTCATTAAGATCTTCTTGACCGGGATTTTTTGTACGTTGACAATTATCCTGTAATATCAGAGTTATCAGTTTGTTTCCCTGTCTTGCAAATAGCAAACCGCGCATGCTTCAATAATCAGCCATATAGTAATATTGATCTATAGTTGTCTTTGTTTTCGGAATTAACAAAATGACGTGCGCGAACATTTTGGACTTCAATGCCGAGAGATCAAGGGTACCTCAGTAGTTTCTTGGCAATGTATCTGCAGGATGCGAGTTGTGAGAAATTGATTCAATGATCATGAGCGCGCCCATCTTCGAACGTCGCTCTTCCCTCCTACCTCCTCCGGCCGGTCCTGTCCTAATAATTGTTGCGATAATCAAAGGAAGGTTAAACCCTTTCTGCAGCAGTCCGCTTGCTTAATTCCTAAGTTTATCAGTAACATCACTTTCACACCGAAATTAGGTTCTGGCGCATGGCGGGTAAAACGATGCTTTTTAAAGTAACAGACAGAAACAAAGACAGGCCCCAGTTTCTACTAACAGTTTCTGTTTCATTTAACACGAGAAACGCATTATTTTGACCAACCCTTAAAAGCACACACTAGACCTTTAATGTTTTTCCCTGTATGTAAAAATACCGGCACTAGCTTTGACCTAAGCGTCCTGTCGTGACTTCTGTCATTATTTTACTGAGTTATTCATACCTTACGACAAACGCTATCAGTACAGTTCAGTTCCTCATCTGGAAAGCCGTCCAAATCGAAGTCGTCAGCGCAAAAGATGCCATTTCCAGCGTAACCTTCACGACACTAGAATAAATTCACGAAAAAATTATTTGTATAAGCAAGTAATGATGTTTAACAATTCACTAGGGTTGTATTCCTTTTTTCACTTACAGCTGTCGATAAAAATAGTTTAAAACTACTATATTTTTTTTGTCAAGTGCTTCTTTGACAAATCTTCATCACCATCATCATCATCATCATCATCGTCATCATCATCATTATCATCGTTATCTCCATCACCATCACCACCACCAACGCCACCACCATCATCATCATCATCGTCGTCGTCGTCGTAGTCGTAGTCGTCGTCTTGATCATCGTCGCCGTCATCATCATCATCATCATTATTATCTTTGTCATTCATATATTTATTTACTATTCAGATCACCTCGTGACATTACCCATATCTCGTAGTCCACTTCTCATTTTCGTAGTTAAATACGAGAAAAAATAGGAACGTGTTTTTTTTTTTTTTCATTTTCATCTTTTTTCACAACCTTTATCCGCCTTGTCATGTTTTTCTCTTAGCGAATTTCACTCTGGTACTAGTGGTGACCCCTACCACACTGCAATGGCGAATGAAGCATTGAAAAGCCCTTCATAAGCTTTGTAAGAATATCCTCACCTCACACCTAAAACTTCGCCCACTGTCCAGTCGAATGCACCTGGCGTATTGACTGCAAGGGTTACTCCTTGGATCGCTTACGTCACAATAACTTAGGTAGTAGCACGAGTGTCGTGGATCGCCAGTGAAGCCAGGAGGGCAATCTCCACATTCGAAGCTTCCCTGTAAGATAACAAGCGCAGACATGATGTAGAAAGCAATCAACACATGACTACATTACTCTACATTTTACTCCAAGTTGAAAAAGCTTACCGGAAGATTGAGACACTTTGATTCTTTTGCGCATGGGCGTGGTTCCTCTGCACATTCATCAATATCCGTGCAAACCTATGAGAGAAAAAAACACAGTGAAGTTATCCCTGCACCGATGAATACCAAATTAGCCCCTTCTTGTGGCGGAAGGGTTTGAAGCGTAATTTACAAATTTACATTTGTGACGAATCTCTTGAGATGTAAAACCAGCCTTACAGTAGAGCTGTCAGAAAATACGGTGACATGAACACGATGATCATCGATGTCCGTCTCAGGAATTATGCGACAGGAAATGTTACCTATACGCTTACAGGGAGGGTATAATAACTGAACAATGCAAAAGTTGCAGGTACACACTATCTGGTTTGAACAGGATAACTCCCCCACCCACCACCACTTCCACCTCGCACCTGATAATACAACAAAGATACATGTACAAGAAGTTGACCGGTATGGGATGTGACGCCCTGTTTAAATATATCCAACATATAGCGGGTCTAACTTCAGACAACACTGTAGAGCGCAACAATGTTAGATCATATCAGTGCATCGGTTTGAACGGGCCTTACAAAATAAGCGAACTATTTGACCGTTGAGCAAGATGTTTATCCAGTCCGAATACGCAGGTGACTCAGAAGAAAAAATCCCAGTTCTCCCAACAGGAGTCGAACCAATGACCTACTGGTCAGTAATCCACATGCCCTACCACTGAGCTACAGGAGACTCGTGAGAGCTAAGGCCACTAAACCAGGATCATGTGACAATCATCCTGCATACTGCTACGACTGGAATATCGATATGTGCTGATACGCAGTGATTAAAATGTGATGGTGAATTTTAAGCGTGGACCCAGTTGTTCGAAGGCCGATTAGCGCTTAACCCAGGGTTTAATTTAACCCAGGATTCTTTTGTTTTTTTTTTTGTTCAAAAGCATTTTCTTGGATAATTTTCTCTGTTAATTTTAAGAGCATCCAATCATCAACTTGTTGACAAAAAGAATTAAACTGAATTTCCTTTTAAGCTTTCATATCCGAATTCAAATTTCGCACTAAGTAACCCTGGGTTATCTTAACCCAGCCTTGAACAACCCGGCCTTGGTGAATACAAGAGACAGTTACATACGGATGAAAAAGAAGCTAGAGTACCTGTTTATTGTCCTTCGCAAAATACAGTCCAATCCCATGAACCTCCTTTCCAGAATATCCTCGAGGACATGGTGGACACCAATATCCGGGACTTCTATTATTGCAAAGAACATTTTTGGCGCAAGGGTCGGCCAGTTTACACTAGACAAAAGGGAAATGAAAAACAAACAAACAAAAAAAACGATCAGCTTGTCCTAAAACTATCAGTTTGACAGTAAGGAGGTTATTACATAAATGATGCCTGACCTCAGAGGCTTTCAATAAACACGGATGGCAGTTGGGACTTTTGTAAACCTGTTCAACCTCACAATTTCCCAAAGTTCATCTCTCTCTCTCTCTCTGTCTTGTTTGTCATTAACCTAAACTTTTGTCACTGTTAAATAGTTTTAGATAACCGTATAGCGAGAACGTAATAACCAAAAAAGAACTACGCAAAACGGCCTTGGCTACCATGATACAGTCCTTTCAACACAACCCTATTCCGCAAACAAAATGCAAGAGACTTCTTACCTCATTGATGTCAGTACAGTTGATACCATCACCCAGCATTCCAAGAGGGCATTCTCCGCACTCAAATCCCTTTACAGTAGCCGGATCATTGAAGCAAGGCACACCAGGAAAACAAGGCTTAAAACGACAGAAGTCTTGAACTAAATAAAACAAAAGGCAGAGAGAAGAGTGAAGAAACGAAAAGTTTGATGAACACATCTTAAAAAGGGTTTGATAGATTGTGCCCCAAAAGGTAGCATCATATGCTACTAGCAGTGCTTATATATTTCTAAAATTATGCCAACAATTATGCCAGCTTTTGTGAATTATGCTTATTTTAGCAAAATATGCAGAAATTATGCTTCTAATTTTACTTCAAATTTGGTAAAAATACCTCAATAACTATGCAACAAACAACACAAGTGAATAGCAAACACATTTACCCTATTTACATCTAGAAACTTTAAGAGTGCAAAATTCATACTCTGAAAACAACAAAAATCCAAACAAAAAACCAGCACATGAACGCCATCTTGGGTAACAGAGCTAATTAGTTATGCGCATGCGTTGAGTCCTGTGGAAAAGTCCTAGGTCACTTCCTATAGGACCCAGGTCCCATGAATGCGACAATAAGCAGACAACCATTGATTCTGTTTCTTAAAGTTGCCTGTAACACCGTGACGTATCTCAGGTCAAAAAAAATTGGTTGGATGATTAATAAATGACAATTTTGTGCTGCAAAACTAGCTGAAAGTGTAAATTATGCAAGCAGTGCTTTTTCGGAAATACTTGAAATTATGCTCGTAATGACGAATTATGCCAAAAATTATGCAAGCACAACCTATCCAAGCCTGATCTCAAATGAACGACTAACAAAGAAATGTTTATGCAATCGAGCCAGTAATAATGCACTGACGAAAAAAAATCCTGTTTACATACTAGTCTTGGAATGAATCAACGATTTATAGTACAGTCAGGAGCGTGGAAACAAGAAAAAATCTCGAGTCCCGTTCAGGATTCGAGCCTATGACGTCCCGACCACCAATGAAGGCAAGCATGCTGTTGGCGACTTTAAGATTAAGCGAAAGACCAGGTCCACATTGTATCGAATTGCACTATGGGACGTTTCCGGACGCTATGGTCCGGAAACAGTCAAACAAAAGGTCTGGAGCGAGGCTGAAAACGGACAGCAAGACAGAGGAGAGGTGTGTGACGCTACTCTTACGCTACGCTAAACCAATTTTGAGGAAAAAACCGCCTGTTTTGCAGTCCATTGCCACAAAAAATTTATTCAAATTTTATAGTGCCCCCATTTGTGATGCGACGCGGCTGTTATACACTCTAGACCGTTCCTTCTAGTCTTACATATTACCTCGACACATCTGGCAATTTTCCACTAAACCACGAAGATACTTGATTTCAGCCACCTGAAACAGACCGAAGCAAATTGTATAAACCAACAATACTTCTTGATATAATTATGATTATATGAAAATCATCTTCTTTTTTTGATAAAAAAAAAACAGTTAAACACTAGTTCGATAGTTTTTTTTCTCGTTCCTTTTAATTGTGAATGAAGTCACTACAACAAATAATGAACAGATAGGGTAAAAGTGCTACATCACTGTTCTGAAAGTGGTCTGTTTTGATTCACGTTCACACGTTCAATCTTCTCAAGCTTATTGTACAAATGCACCACCAAATAATACATCCATAAACGTACGTATCCGCATGAGTGTGCATATATGGGAAATGAAACGTGATGCAACGTGAAACGTGAAACGTTACTTTGCGAATGACCACACCACGCATGTGAACAGCAATGATCACTTTACCTGTTTTGACAAGTCAAATCGCAGATCCCGTATGAGACCAACCAGTTCATTACCTGCATAGACAAGTCATATCGAAGATCCTTTATGAGACCAATCAAATCAGAGGCTACTTCGTTCGTTATAACGCTGGCACCGCTTATCCGAGGTGGATAGGGAGTTTTCCCTAAGAAAACAAAACAGACCCAAGATAAAAGAAAGAACTCGAGGAAACTCCCAAATTTCTTGGCGAATATGCAGAGATAAAAGAGCAGTCCAGAGTAGAGGTGGTGTCAAATTTGATCCTCAAACTCAAACCTTAACAGCTCGAGGCTAGTTTTCACTAGCAAAGGATTCGAAGACGCAATCGTTGACAAAAGTACAGAGTTTTATGTTTTAGTGAAAACCACCCAGCGAGTATAGCCCGCTTTTGTTTCAATCCTTTGAAGTCGCCGCAGCCCAAACTTCTGAACAAGCCAATCTTGTTTTCTCCCCTCAAAATGGTTTTTCGAGGGACAGCATCCGTCTATTGAATATGACCGATGGTCATAACTGAGCCTGCTGTACCAAGAGCACAGCTATTAGGCCTGGGGTCCAAACTGTATCCTAGCAAAGTGCAGTGATCGCTCAACAAAGATCTTACTCGATTCACGCAGAGTCTCTCTCGAGTACGACAAAAGAAAGGATCTGCTGGCAGGGTAAGTGAAAACTTAAGAACAAAACCAATCACAACGAGTGGGAAAGAGCATTGTGATTGGTTCATTCATCCACTTCCGCTTCCGACTCCAACCATTCAGTTTTCACTAGATGACAAGCGAAGGAGACCGAAAGAGACTCGGAACTGACGAAAAAGGAAATATTCAAATTGTTGCGACTCCGATTCCGACGAGCTTATGATTCCGCTCACAACTCCGATTTTTGATTTTCACTACTAGTCAAAAGAGCATCGAACTCTGATTACGACACCCAATCCGTCGCTAGTAAAAACCAGCCTTTAATTTAACTTTCGGCATTTTACCCAGACATGTCCCCTGGAAACTGTGAAATTCCGCGGTTTTCTTTTAAATACGCTTCAAAGTCAGCCTTGACTTGTGTTCTCAGCTTCTCTCTCTCTATCTCGCTGCATTTTATCTTACTATGGCCCCCATAAAACAAATACCCAGGAGTAGAACCCCTATCATGGTAACGTAACCTCGTTATAACGAACGATTCTCTCGAGCAGTTGGCACTTCGTTATAATTTATCGGGTTCCACTGTTTTTTAGTATTTTAATGCTGGTTTTGATGATTTATTTTAATGGCATGCGATCTGATGGCGGTTTGACCCTACTTGCCTCTCCACACCCAATCCTGATTAGGATGGTGAACAGCCTTAAGATCGTTAGAAATATTCACTTAACTGTCGGGAGATTCTCTTTCTCAGAAATACAAAAGGATTTGTTGACTAGAACGTAATAAATTCAACCGAAAGCCTTGATAAGTCTGGTCGATTTTGAGGGGTTTACATAGCGGTCACAGGGAATGTAGAACGCGCGTACTTGGGAAATAAAGGATAGGCATTAATATGGCAAGAGAAGTGGAAATACATCTACCTCGTATTGCAGCTATTGCTTGCCCACATTCTGGACCATCAAGTATAAAGTCTATAGGTCGTTTGAAGATGAATTTCATGTACTGTATGGTCCCCTAAATTAAAAAGGCAACAGCAAACAACAAATAAATTAAGGTGACACCCAAACTTGTTGAAAATTGAACTTCAAGCCAATGTTAAAGAAATGTTGAACACCCCAAAACAATGTTAAGAGGGCTTGAGCCAAAGATGAGAAAATGTTGAACCAGAACTCTCCCCCCCCGTCCAACAACAATGTTAAGAGGGCTTGCGCCAATGCTGAGGAAATGTTGAACCTGAACCTCCCCCCCTCAACAATGTGGAGCGGGCTTGAGGAAATGTTGAGGAAATGTTTAACACCCCACAATAATATTGAGGGGAGAAGGGGGGGCGATGTAAAGAAAATCAGTGTTGAAACTGTCGCCAAAAGAGTGAATTACTTTACCTTCCACTGAGTATGAATTTTCTGTTTCTTTACTCTCTGTGCTATTCTGAACTCCATCAAAGACAACAAAGTCCCTCTGTAGGAGAAAATCGACGAGACTGCAGAAACTGTTTCAGCTTTGCCAAAAAACTGGCAGTCTACGTACAGTGCGACGGCTGATATCTTCTTTCCTTTGTCGAAAATATCCGTGATTCGAAGGATTATACTGTGGTACTGTTTATCTCCCAGCGCGGCGACATTCTTAAACACGACGTTCTCCGCAGTGTCGTTTGTTGATCTGTATCTAAGGATAAGTTTTGTGGCGTTACCCGACCCCTTAGTGGATAAGTCAAGAATAAGAAGCTTCTTTTGTCTATGTGAAATAGAAAACAAACATCCCGCAGTACCAGACATGACTCTCACTCGAGCAAAGATGAGAAACTCTTCGTTCGACTCGATGTTCACTATAGTTCTTTGAAGTAGATCTTCATTTGCTCTTATATCTTTTATTGCCCGACCAAAGAGAAAGGCCCATTCCCCTGGCGACACAGCAACGCGGCGCACGTTAAAGTCCAGTGAATTCGCGCTACCAGAGATTGGTGAAAGCAAATCTATTTCTACAAAGGAAAAGAGAATTGTCTCAGTATATTTTATAGTGTGCTTTAACTTTACTTTTCTCCATTACGAAAAGTGAATTCTAATCTTTCTGTTACTAAATTAGCTGACGTTTGAGACTGACTGCTCAGTGTATGATTACCGTAAGTAACAGTTGCGTTTTACGGGGTCATAAATAAACTAGTGTATCTATAGATATTGATATTCAAACCTTTCACAGCGGAGACCTCCAGTTTAAGACAGACGCACTGAGTGGCGTTGTAGAGGTTGCAGTTAAACGAAGTAAAGGCGTCAGCATATGATACCATTTATTTTGGGGAAAGCTCTGCTGCACGCAAGGTTAATTTTGAAAATGCACTGATATATTGTAAGTATCACAGTCGAAGTAGTATGTCAATAAAACAGCGCCCAGTTGCTCGAAGCATGGTTAGCGTTAACCAGCGTTTAATACCTTGACAACGTATTGGTTTTGATACTGCTTAACCAATGGTTAAAGCTAACCATGCTTTGAGCAACTCAGCCCAGATCTAAAAAGACTATCCCATTGTTATCTATCAATGGCAGAACTAAAACTCGCTGGAATCGCACAAAAACGGCCAAAACTGCAAGAAGACAAGGTACGAGGTTCTAATGTATTGTTTGTGCTATTTTTGACCAGTAAATAACGACCACTAAACTTCTTATACAAATTCTTGTAATATCTCTGTTACGCAACGATTGTAACTCGTGAGGCTTGGAGTACCTTAGCAGTTAATCCGGAGAATCACCACAAAACGCTTCCTTTTAGAAAATGAACAAAATCTCGGGCAATTGTTTCCCTCACCCTTGTGTAAACTATTTGTTCACCCCTACTTTAAAACGTATCAAGTTATAAAAATTGGCTTGCAAGCTTACCTAGAGCATCCGTTGACCTAAAAATATATACCGCGGCAACAAAAATCCAAAGCAACTTTTGTCTATTCATCTTTGCTGGAAAAGAAAGACATACTAAATCAAACTTTATTGAAGTAATTTATCATCAACGTTGGTGGCACATTACAACAAAGTGGAAGAAACAAAAAGCTCCCTTTAATTACCCCTTACTCTTAAGTCGTGCTTAGAGGTCGGGTCGATCTTAGTTTTAAGTCTATGGTTGAACTCCAATAGTCAAGTGCCGCTACCATTCAAATGAACTCTTCAACAGAGTTTCCACATGGAACTATTTACTTACACCCTACGGTCTTTTTCTTTAGTTTTAATTGCTTACCGTAAACACCCGATGTACACGTGCAAAGTGTTGGAGCACATTGCATGGACGCAAGACGCCTTACTGGGGCCATGGTCAACTTGCGTAGCAGACGCTAGGGGGCAATATGGGCTCAAGAAAAAACGGGACGTGCGATGGGGACTGTTTTTTCTCGCACCCACATTACTTGTCTTCCAAACGCCTTCTACGCAAGTCAGTGGTCAATCTTCGATCTTCACATGGAACAAACTTAATGCTAATGAGCAAAATCTCTTGTTCTCGCTCATTAACATTAGGTTCATTTGAAGTTCGACGTTTGACATGGCCTTAGTCATTCAATTGAATTAAAAAAAGTGTCTTCAGCTTAACCTTATTTTTAACTGTTAATTTGATTATCGTGCGGTAACGGGCCTAAAATAACCGTTAAGATTGGATTTCATAAGTAACAGTAAATTACCGTGAATAGCGAGTTCTTATAAACGGTAGCTTCACAAGACCGATACAAGAATACAAGACTAAAGATCAAAGTCCTTGCGCTTATGAACATTTCCGAGATCCACGGATAGTAATTATGTGCTGCCCCACCAGACATCAGAATTTTCAGAGTAAAGAGATTTTTTGAACAGTTAAAAGCATTCGTCAAGCCGCTTATTCAGTGAGATCTTTCAGTTTCAGAAAGTGTTATCTCTCTTTTGTACGGCCATCCCTGGCAAAAACGTGACTGACATCCAAACAATGGGAATTCATTTCCAACAAGAGATAAATGCTTAACCTTCGACGACAGTATGAGAATCAAAGTTCGCTCTAAAAAGCTGAAAGATTAAGTAGGGATCGATCATTTAAAAGAAGCAAAAATAGTACAATCTTGCCCCTTAATTATCAAAAAATACGTTTGCCATCCAATCTGCCAGTTACAGACAATTGACTTAGTAAAGTTCATAAACAGTAATAATAATCAGTTGTGTAGATGATGGGATTGAAGCAGAAGCGATGTAATATCAATTTTCCGCGCCGAATTTGGAAAAGATGCTGAATCACACCGGTGAAATATACGGCCGAGTCACGTTCTGGCTTCCAGTACGCGTTTGGTTGTTGGAGATCACGATCTCTTTTAAAAAACAAATGTGATCTTGCCGGCGGAACGGAACATACTATCATAAAGAATAATCGGCAAACTATACTAACTCGGGCCAAAAAATTTTGGAACTCAAACTGCGGAACTGGAGTACTTGAAAGCATAATAAAGATCTTATTTAAGTTCTATATGTGTTGTGTTGACTAAATGAATTCATTGTTACAAGAGCACTCGTGCCTATTGTAGTGTTCAGAGTAAACTATAAGAATAACCAAACCTGAAGAACGCGCGGCTGAATTTCGTCGAAGTCTCCGCATTTTGTTTTATCACATCAACTATTACATACAAGTTTTTTCAGCAAACTTGCTACAGCAAAAGACATTCCAGTGGGCAATAAAAACACTGCATTTTTTCTTTGTAATTAATTTCAGATTAAGGAGCGTGAAAAATTAGATTCCGTTTAACAGTACAATCGAACAGCAATCTTTCCCTAGGGGCCGCAAGAATCTTTAGAAAGAAAGAAAGGTAATTATGTAGAGTGAACAGCCAAAAACATGCAAACAATCCCAAATTAGCCGAAAAATAACTTGAAATTTTCACCAAATTTTTCAGAAATTGAAGTGTTTTTAATTTTCAGTTCCGATGACGTGAATATCTACCAAGGTTCCATTGAGCGCAAGGATATCGTTTTTGGTATTTGAAAAGTCACGCCATAGGATTCCTACACTCGTATTAACTGGAAGAAATTCCACTAAAGACGGGATGTCGATCGAAAAGTTACGATTAAAGGATTAAAATTCCATTTAGGGTGCCAAAGAGTTAAGGATAAATTAGTTCACAGAAAAACGCGCGCGTTGCATTTATGTATCAACGAAAACACCACACCAACACAAACATAGAACACTCAGCTATTAGCAACTACGACAACTGTTCCCAATGCCAAGCAGGCGCCGGAGAGTATTTTCAACCCAACGCACTCTTCCCTCGCATGCCTGTCGCGTGCATTTCTCGAAGATTAGTATCATAAGATAACTGCTTCCTTATTGTATTTAGTACAACCGAAAGGAGACATACAGGAACTGGGAAACTTACACCAAATCTATTTGTTGCATGAAAACGTTCTGTTTCTCTTTGTGGGAGAGCTGAGGGAAGTTGGGGGCTTGACACCGATTCTACCATGTGTACCATCAAGACAGAAATACGACTGATGCCCACGGATGTCAATTGCTTTTAAGTGGCAATAACATGGAATTTCAAGTTCTCCCTTTTTTCTTCACCAGACCAACTATTAGTAACAAGATTTTTACTACAATCATTGGATGTTTTGAAACATTAAAAGTATGTTAAACTGAGAAGGCTAATAAACATGGAAAAAATTAGAGGCTGCCGGAAAGATAAACCGTTGTTAGAGCCAAAATTGGGTCAAATTTTCAAGTCTGATATTGTCCCCTGGGTTGAAATGCATCTCAAAAGTTGGCTGAAATAGTTCTTTAACAGTGTTATTGTGGTCACCAAAGGGAGATCGATTACTCTGCTGTGGGTTGCAAGGCTATCTTGCTCTTGGCGACTATGAAAACAGACATTTTTAATTTACTATACGCCCTTATTGGCTTGAGTTTGAACTAGCACAATTTTAGATTTTGCTCATTCCAGACACAGCTGGGGAAGGTTAGAACCAGATTTATTCGGAAGCTTGAGAAAAAAAAAATACGTAAAGCTTCTTTAGCTATTTCTCTACCCTATATCAGTGAAGATGTACAGACTAGCCACATATATTCCGTAATACCCTGTGAGGTTTTGATAGACGGATCGGATCGGATCAACTATGGGTGGTCACAAGCCGCTTCAATGGTATGCATCCAAATGAAAGCGAAACACTTTGCCGTCGTTGCTCATGGAGGTTAGTTGTGTCAAAATAAAAAGGATTTTATAGTGCTCCTTTTGAGACTTGTTGAAGCTTCTTGACGTAATTCGCTCAAACCTAAATCACGCACCAAGATTTTTGGGTGAATTAATATCACAATACAGTAACTCACACAAAAGTACAGGAAGCCGGTATTAATTAAACATGGCCATAAACGTGAGAACAAGGTCAGAATTTTGCGTCACGAAAGAATTCGTTTTGACGAAGAGATTGCGCGTTGCACGCCAATACATGTACAAACAATCTCAGTCTCCACATATGGTAGAATACTACATGTGATATAATAAACTGCCTTAAGCTTTATGGGCTAGTACTGATTGCACCTAAGAGTGCGCAAACGTTCTTTGAGTAAACTTGAAGTGTTTTTTAAATCGAAAGTTTAGTTGCGACAGGCATCTCTACGAAGAACAACAGATTGATGACCTGATTCATTGCGAGGTTTTCCTTGTCCACTGAGTCAAAACGTCATGGCACCGAAGATAAACATATTCCATATAATGGTAAATCGTTTACTTAGTAAACTTCTTTTGACCCTGGGTTAAAATAATGCTGGCTGTCTGAAGCAATATCCGGTCTTACAGGGTAAACTGACATTTAAAAACAAATAATTTACGTTAAAAAGGAAAACAGCGGGAACATTACCCTGCGAGCAGAGGTTTCTTTCCGGGATATCTTTTTATAGCATCCGCAGATTCGTTTGCGCCGCTGTCATAGAGGTTTATATCGCCAAGAACAACACTGATTTCATTCTAAACGGACAGGTAACATCTAGCACTGACTAC